AATGATACTTGTTATTGTATTAAAATTTAACACATCCATAATAGTGGCCTACTCTCCATCACTACTATACACAGACTATAGCAGACCCACTTGCCCATTTTTAATATTTTTAGTTTTAATTAAAAATTGACCTATCATTAAACTTAAATGTAAGAAAATTATCTATGTTCTTGTTTGTTGAAGTTGAAAATGCTCATGATTCACTTAAAAACTGTCAAAAGAACACAGTAATTGTCTTAAATTTATTTTGGATAATAGGCCAATTTACACTAATATTTAATTAAATGCTAATGATACCAAATTGGAGCTGCTGAATACACATTTAGATATATTATGTGTAATTGAAATACTGCARTCTGCAGATATAATATCCTTTGAAAAATTCTAAAAGTATAATAATATATTTATTATTTATTCTAAATTGTAAATATTTTTAAAGGTATAGTTATTATTAAAATGTATATTCATATTGTACACTAACTATGAATACATTTTTAGAACCAACATCAAATTCAAAATGTTTTAACAACTCAAATGGACAAACTGTATTAAACAACTTTACTCAACAAGTAGATATTAATGTTAATATTTAAATATAATGTATAGATTTATATCAGTTTTTATGTTTTTAGAAAAATTCTGATGATTCTTCTGATCATTTAGAGTCATTTAAACTCCAAGTTTCTATGTTAAATAATCAAATTGATACTCTTTTAAGAAAATTAARTCATCTAGAAAAGTATCTATTGCAACAAAATGATTTAAGAAAAAAAGCTGAAAATAAGCTCCACGAGGTAAATATTAAAAYTGTATACTTTATAACTTATTAGAATCTAATATTGTAATAATGATATTGTTTTGAAGGAAATGATTTTAAAATCAAAATTAGAAACGGAAAAACTTGAAGTTATTGCTATGCTAACTAATTTGAAATTAGTAAATGTTAGGTTAACTAAGGAAAACATGGAACTTAAAGAAATGATAATAAATAATCAAAATGCACAGAATTCAATGACTTCATCATGTACATCAGAGGTGGTAGTAAGTTTTAAACAATTTATTATTAAATATATAATCTAATAAAATCCAATTGTATGATAAATTATTAATCAAATTTTACAAAAGTGTACCTTAACTTTATTTATTTTTCAAAACAATTTTTTTTAAATATTATTTGCCTTACCAGATTTTTATGTTTTTGAGATACTTAACTTATTAATGAAAGTCAAAATAATATTTGAAAAATATTATTTAGCCCATCTCGCTTATATATTTTTGTTTTTAATGATTATTTAAATATTACTTCGATATTAAAGTATTTATCTTATTATAATAATCTAATACTTGCATTACAAATTATCGTAGTTACATATAAAAATATCTTCTTTGAAATACAAACCGATTGTAATCACAAATAGTTCTTAAAAATAAATTACACCAACTTGTCTCCATCTTACATGTGCTTTATATAACAAATTTACAAACAATTTACCATTTTAAAACATTCTTAATTTGCTTTAAAATTGAAATATAATTTTTTTAAAAAAAAATGCCTATAATATTATCTATATAATAATATTATATCTTTAAATTTTATAA